TTCGTAATAGTTAACGAGTAATTAATTATTAAAAATCGTTGTCTTAGGCTGGCCTACCGTCCAATTCGAGCGCGTGGCGAGATGTGCGCATAGCAATATCGATCGCCGGGCGGTCACATCTTGCCACGCACTCGAATTGGGCGGTAGGCCGGCCTAAGACAACGATTTTTAATAATTAATTACTCGTTAACTATTACGAAAATTGCAAAATGGTACAGGACTTTTTCGTTCATCTCGATCCGTTCTACCTTCTCAAAAATTTTGTCGGATATGGAAAGACTCACCCTGTATATGAAAATATCATGATATTTATTTCAATTTATATACGTTATTTATTTACACGTTTACAGAAACTGCCATGGGCACTTCTTTGCGAGATCTCGGTATGATACAACAGCGGTATCTAGAAGCGGTTCATCAAATGGGCGAATTTTTTATTTATAGGTAATTTATAAATATAATAAGTAACTGTGTGTACCTGTTTTCAGATATAGATTAATATTATATAATTATATCAAAATAAATAATTCTATATTAAAGTTAGTCTTCTGATTGAGTCGATGTTCAACATTAAATATTTGAAGACAATAGAGGCAATGTGATTTCAGATAAATGTGAATTCAGACATATCTTCAGAATAATGAATAAAGTATGTGGTGCCCTAGCAAACCGGCCTGTCATATAGACATAGAAAATTTCCAAACGTCACTTTTGCAATTAACAGTTCGTTCCCCACTTTCACTTTGTAAAATTATTTATAATATTTAGTAAAACTTTTTTATGTATTTCTTTTTATTTTAACTAAAATATTTATTTATAGCATTTATAAAAGAATTAAAAGGTATAAAACTATAGTATATCTTCTTAAAGTAGCGTCTATATTATTGATTAATTATGGTTTAGGCTCGTGAGGCCATGGCTGTATAATGATTGGACATTTTTGTTGACGCCAAAAGGCAGAAAGCAAAGAAAAATTCTAAAGACATTACATGGATTTACTGAACAAGTATGTAAAAATGCTGTTTAATATTATATTCGAGCATTATATCTATTTTGAAAAATTACAAAAATATATTAATATATATTTTTTCATAAATGAAAAATTATAAAAACTCCAGAACCATCGTATAGAAACATTATAAAATAATTAATAAACATTTACAACACATTGCTAATGCATTTATTTATATAATGGCATTTATATAAAGGAGAAATATTAATACTATGTATATTTATCTACATAGGTTATTGCTGACAGAAAACTTTATCATGAACGTACTAATGGTCGATACTTGCTAAGCTTTGTTAATGAGACATCAATAGAAGGAGACATACAACCGACAGAAAGTACATAATGCAATAAGTAGCTGTTCCTTAAATCTGGTTAATGACTAAAATATAATAAATTATATATTAGTAATATTATAATATATAATTTAAAACCTAAATGTAGTTTAAATCCTCAACGTCATCAATATTGTTTATTAAAAACGTTACAGAATAATTCAGTTATTAAATTGATACCAACATTATTTTATATTTAGTACGAAGAAAGCGGCTTGCAATGTTGGATCTTCTAATAAAGGCATCTCGTGAGAGTGCTATGACTGATTTAGATATCAGAGAGGAAGTCGATACTTTTATGTTTGAGGTATTATACATATATTTGTACTAATCCCTATAACGATTTAAAATATAATTTGGATACGGATACATATGTGTACACAATAATATATTGATGTATATGATGTTATAGGGTCACGATACTACAGCGACAGCTATATGCTTCATTTTGGCACTATTAGCCGAGCATAAAAACATTCAGGTATCAATCATTAAATGTGAATTGACAATAACAATAATCAGCGTGTAACTCTTTCGCTCGTATGTTGTGAATACAAATATCAATTATTATTAGAGGCCATAATAACGAGCATTAGTGGGTGTTTGTCCAGAAAGATATCATAATTTATTTTTAAGAATTGTGAACGTTTCGGCTATACTAAGCCTTCTTCAGTACATTACCCGCTTATATATCGGTCGCGTACACGCAGAGCATTTTACATATATTGGCAATAGATTGTTTGGCCAACTATTTCGGAATCGGCGATGTCCATGCGGTGAAGATTTACAACTCCCGTGTTTTTCAGCACATTCTTCGTTTGTTGGCGAGAATATGTTTGTCCTAATCTATGAAATCGTTTCGTTTTTCGACGTAGCGCAACATAGTGTATCACCTTTTGCCTTCACAGCATGGACATCGCCGATTCCGAAAAAGTTGGCCAAACAATCCATTGCCGATATCTTCGAGTAGAAATTTCGTCGGGTTTACCCAACATGTATCGGGACCTGATACGGCTGATGTAGGGTATCAATTAACGGGTTTTACCTGATGGGAATCTCATCAGTTTTTCTTCAGGTCAACCCTAGTTGAAAAAATCGAATCATCGAACAGAGGAACCCCAGTAGTATTCTATCGGTACCCTGTTAGGTATACCTTACATAAAAAAAATATTTCCGATAATGTTTTTCTGACCGGGGAACCATCAGGACCCCATGACTTTATCTGCAAGACGGATTCTTTTTCAAAAATACACCATTACACAAGTGTTCACTAATTTGTTAAACAATATCATTGTTCGGACCATCATTGACTAACTGATATTAGCAAATCGGATATAAGCCAAGATTGGCCTGCGATTGATAAACCAATCCTCGTAATTTTTGTAACTTTTGAGTTAATTTAAATTAAGTATATATCGAAAATCGTCATTAGGCCTATTTTTGCTATCATTTTTAGATACCTGTAGAGTGTAGAAAATTTTCAGATGTAAGGATGGTCAACAACATGACGAAATCATTTCTATAAGATATACTTTCATCTTAATTATACAAGAATATGAGTGGCCGAGGACATAGGATACAAGACTGAAGAGCTGATGATCCCAGGTTCGAATCCAGCAGTGGTAAAACAAATTTTTCACATATGATATTTTAATTATAAAATAACATTAAGAGATTAGAAGGTTACTAATTCTGATGTAGAGAGAATAAAAATAACAAATAAAAAGTCTATTCCAAATTTTTTTGATAAAATGCGTAACCCATGTAAGAACTTCACTCTTACCCGACTCAGCCCTGATCCCTATCCCGATGAAGTCTCAGTCAGGTAAACCTGATAAGTTTTTGATCGGGTAGCTGCGTTACGCTGAGATAAGTTCATCACCGGGTGAACATTATTAGTTCCCGATGTTTAGGTTGGGTTTGCCCAGTACTTTCCCGATGTAAACCGAACGAAATTTCTACTCCGCTCTGCGCGTACGCGACCGATATATAAGCGGGTAATGTACTGAAGAAGGCTTAGTATAGCCGAAATGTTCACGATTCTTAAAAATAATAATAAATTAGTATGGCTCGTATGTTTTAAACACAAATTTCAAAGAATTTTATATCACATGTGCACGGAAAAGTGCCTCTTTTTGACAGTTTTTCGTGCCCAAAATAGACATTTGCCGACACAATACAGTTTGCACGCAACATGGCGTCAACTATGCGGAAAAAGCCGTGCGGTAAAATTATTACCGCACACTTTAGCGCTGTTTTTGTTTATCTCCCAGCACAATTGCCGATCTCTCTTCCACACGCCGTCTTCGACACATGACAGGTTAGCCTCAAAGTTTTTACACGTAACTGTCAAAAAAGAGGTACTTTTCCGTGCACTTATAATATAAAATAGTATGTGATACATGTGCGGGAGATTGGCTATTGGCCACTCGTGCGGATGGGCGCACTCGCCTTCGGCTCGTGCGCCACTTTCCCGCACATGTATCACAAAATATACTATAAAGGACTCAGAGCCGTACGGCTTTGAAATTTGTCTTAAAAATAAATTATGATATCTTTTTGGACAAACACCCACTAATGCTCGTTATTATGGTCTCTAATAATAATTAATAAATGTGAATTGCTTCATAAGAAATTAATTAATTCCAAAATTTGATTATTCAGTTGATTAAAGATGTATCTATATAAAAATTTTTGAATGACCTTTTTAAGTGTGTGCGTGTGTGCATGCGTGCGTGCATACACGTACGTGTAGACAGGGTGTCTGATAAGTAACTGATCAATCGAAGTATGTAGGTAGATTATGGCAAACTGAAGAGAAAAGTTAGATACCATGACGCAAAATCGCAATAGTTATTAAGTTATTATTATTGAGTTCTTATTATACGTCTAAACGAATGAGCGCGCGGAAACAGGCTTCCGACTATAGGCCGGGCTCGGTGGGCGTATGTAGTGTCGCTCGTCGCTCGCGCGCCGCGGGCAAGCGGCGAGCGGTGGGTGGTGGTTGGTTGGTGGCGGGAGGCGAGTTACGAGCGACACTAATTGTAAGCCCACCGAGCCCGGCCTACAGTCGGAAGCCTGTTTTCGCGCGCTTATTCGTTTAGACGTAATAATTAATAACTAAATAACTATTGCGAATTTTGCATCATGGTATCTGACTTTTCTCTTCCGCTTGCTCTGCCTAAATCTGCCTACATATTTCAATTAATCAGTAACTTATCAGACCCTGTATATACGTGTATGTCAAATGTTTGACTAGTCTTTCTGTATCGTTACACAGAAAATGTATGCATTCACACACGCTTACGTATATACAGGGTGAGTTATACTGAAATACTATATCACTGAAAACAGTGAATAGTCACTGATTTACAATTATAAGTATACCACTAAAAATTGCAGTGGTATACTTACAACTAAATCAGTGACTATTCACTGTTTTCAGTAATAATAATCTATTGATTGACTTTTAGATGTAGATTCCATCGATTTCTTTTTTCTAATCACAAATGTGTAACCGACCATCGCGACAAAAATCTAGACGTGATGCGGCGAGACGAGGGAGCGGCAATGTAAACTCGCGGGCAACTGCGTGCTGTTCCTCTCCCCCCCCCCCCCACGCCTTGCGTATTTTTCTACATGTTAATGTAACATACATACATATATATACAGGGTGTATCATTTTAAGTGAAGCAGCTAAATATCTCTTAAAATAAAAGAGATAGGAAAAATGTTTAAACAATAGTTTTATGGTTCCAAGGGAGGCAGAAGTTGGCCATGTCAGTTTAATTGTAGGTGGCGCCACTTTCGAGATTTCTACATGGCGGCCAGTTTTGCAAATGGCAACCGATTTTTATGTTCCAGTGAATGTCGTAGGTGACATAGAGACGAATACAACGGTTTTATATTTTTTGAAATTGGATCATTTTTAACTGAGTTACAGTGATCCAAAGTTTATAATTTAAGTAAAAGGCTTCGACCCCCATACAGTGTGCGTGTTTTGTGACTTCAAACTGTCCTTCTCTCTCTCCCCCCACTCTCTCACGCTCTTTCTCTACCTCTCTCATTCTCTCCTCCCCCCTCTCTCTCTCTCTCTGTGCGTGCGCGCGCGTGTGTATGTGTGTTGTTTCTATCCGTTATCTGACTCTGTTTGATGGTCAACCAGCTTCATACCGCCTGACACGCATTTTCCCGTACTTAGCGTTACCCAGGATGAACGACGTGGACGTGGCGGGGCTTTCATCCCTTTGGGGTGCTTAATTTACGTGAGTCCCCTTGCCCTTCACTTCGGGGTGCTTGTTTAACGTGAGTCCCCTTGCCTCTCACTTCGGGGTGCTTGTTTAACGTGAGTCCCCTTGCCTCTCACTTCCGGGTGCTTGTTTAACGTGAGTCCCCTTGCCTCTCACTTCAGGGTGCTTGTTTTACGTAAGACTTCTGGCCGATCATGTGTGTGCGTGTGTGCATGTGACGAGCACTAGGCTTAGAAGCGCTAATTTTTTAATTTATCCATTTAATAAATGTTCGAATACACTACCATTCTGTTGTAAACATAAACGGAGCCGTTTCTGAAAATTTATAATGGTAGATAACAAAACTCGCAGAGGAATATTATTGCAGGCTCTTTTCATTCTGTTTTTCATATCCTCTCGAGTTGTCGGAGCTTCTTTGTATACTACATTTTTCAAATAACCCCACAAGTAAAAATCTGGTGAAGTTAAATCTGGAGAACGTGGAGGCCACTTTGTAGGGCCGAATCTGCCTATCCATTTTTCATGGTACACTTGATTAAGGTAAGTGGTGACTTTCCAGCCGAGTGAGGCGGTGCTCCATCTTGTTGCCACCACATTCTTTGACGAGTATTGATATCAACCTCTTCTAAAAGACCTAGTAATTCGTTTTGCAAAAATGAAAGGTATCTTGCACTGTTTAAATTGTCTTCAAAAAAGTAAGGTCCTATCAAGTATCCATTAATTACACAGCCCCACAAAATAAAAAAGTTGTCTGGCCCTTAGACCAGACCAGTGTATTCTTATGTATTTTGACCCATTGAATCTGAATCCGAGGTCAGAATTGAAGAATTACTAGCTTTAACGTCCCTAACCTCAAAAAACTCATAATTTCACGAAACGGGCACTTTTGCTAGACGTACGCACCCCTCGGTCTGCGGAACTAAAATAACATGAACATGTTTTTTTTAGTATTTTGACCCGCTGAATACGAATCCGAGGTCAGAAATGCTCCATCAGGTCTCAAATCCTTCCTAAACTAAAAAATGCATTAAAATCCCCCCCCCCAACTGCTTCTTGAGCTATTTTCTTGATTTATGAAGTTCTATTATAAAATACTTGATCAATCAAGAGTCTGCTAAAAAACGATTGAATTTTTTTACTTTAAGTAGAGTATAAGTTTTTTCTTCACCTTACAGAACAGTCTATTAGAGCTGCAAAAACATTTCAATCACTATCTCTGCTTGTGATATCGGACTCTTACTCTCAAAGCATCTGTGCAATGGTTTTCTATTACACTTCTTTCCTCTCGGTGATACTTCCCTTTTTAGCATCTCCCAAAAGTCGGCCATCATACCCAAGTAGCACATATACGTTTCAAAAACGTTTTAGAAGCGTTTTTCCGAAACGTTTTATAACCGATTTTTAGAAACA